TTAAAGTTGAGAAAATACCAAAGGATTATCTAAAACTCTTATTAATAGACGAAGAGTAAGCTTAGCCTAGTTACACTGTATTTTGTTCATATCACTCTAATGTTATTTTTTATTTAATAGACGGAGACATATTCCTCGTTTTTTGATAAGACAAAAAAATTTCAAACAAAGAAATCTTACCAAATTCAATTCTCCAAAACCGTATAGTTAATTTATACATCAGATGCGTACAACATAAACTTACAAAAGTTTTGCTAATGTTCAAACACTCTACAGACTTTGATTGACATTAATATTGCATAATCCTAAATGTAATTGGAATAAACAGTATAATCCTTATATTGTAATAGGGGTGATGACGGGGTACAGTAAACGAAATTCTATTTAGTCCATCAGTTAGATGATCAAAAAATAATGGACACGTATTTTTTCTTTGGGCAATCAACCAAAAAATGACAAAGTTATAGCGCGTCAAAGTTTGGGAGTACGGGCTCGTGACGTCAGTTTTAAGTGAAAATTGTACTAAAACATGTCGTCATGCGACTTTTCAAATCAATATATCTCTGCAATGTTTATATTATGTGAAAAAAGAAAAAATACGTGTCCAATACTTTTTGACAATCTACCTGATAAAAGAAGAAAAAAAATAGTCATCATCCCTAAATAGCGACGGTAGAATTAAGAACTTTGTAGAATAGAGTAGATTTCTATAGTATAGTTACATAAGTTATTATTTTACAAAAGTAAGGAATCGCTTAAGTATCTAACACATAAAAATGCTAATTAAGATTAATAAGGTACGGACCAACAGAATATTATATAAGAACTAGCTGACCCAGCGAACTTCGTATCGCCATAATATGTGGGTGGTAGAAGAGTGAAAATTCAGGGTTATATGTATTTACTAATGCTGTATCATAAAAAAATTAAAAAAATATATCTAAAATTGAAAAAAAAAAAAATTAGTGGTGGATTACCCTTAACATTTGGGGGGATGAAAAATAGATGTTGTCCCATTCTCAGACCTACCCAATATGCACACAAAATTCCATGAGAATCGGGAAAGCCGTTTCGGAGGAGTTTAACCACAAACACCGCGACACGAGAATTTTATATATTAGAGATATCAGTCTAATCCCTTTTTTTCTACATTTACACTGAAATCTTCTTTTTTTTCACGTACAACAAAACTATGAAATATTTTGTCGCCTTGAAGAGTAGTGCTCTCGGGACAATACGACCTGAAAATTTGCAAAAAAAAGAGTGAACTCCTTCGTTAAAGACCGGCAGCGCACTTGTGATGTTCCTGGTGTCTATAAGCGACGGTAACCACTAACTAACAGGTGAGTCGTCTGCTCATATGCCCTCTATGATATAAAAAATAATGATAATTAAGTATTAATCTAACACGAGCGCAAATTGTTTCTTACTTACGGTAAACCGAGTTGTATTATAATTTACGCATCAGTAATGAGTCGAGAATTATCATAACACGATGCGCAGACGGTGAGGCGCACACTCTATACGAGAACACAGTTATTAAACCAAATATTTCTTGAATATAACTTCGTGGACTGGGAGCTGAAGAAAATATAGGACGCGTCAGCTACTGAGATTTTCTTGCAGCATATGCTCCTGCCTCTCTTTTGTAAACAGGTGGAAAGTACTTAGCTATATAGCTGTTTTGTGAAAGTCGATGGTTTGGGCCACAACCCTGAAGTCTGAACAGTACTAGAACTGGCCTAAATAATTGGGGTGCAACTATGGTATTGTGAATAGAGGTAAATAAGGGATGACGGGGTAACGTAAAAGAAATTCAATTCGGTCCAACAGTAAAATCACCAAAAATTTGTGGACATTTTTTTTTCATTTTTCAATTAACCAAAAAGTACTAAGTACAGCTCTTCAAAGTTTGAGAGTCACAAGCCCCCGTCACGTCTTAGAAAAAATTGTACCAGTACATGGCGTCATGCAATATTTCAAATCGACATATCTCTGTTATGCTTTGGCTATGTGAAAAAAATACGTGTCCAATACTTTTTGATAATTTGTCCTAAATCCTGATAAACGAAAAAAAATGAATCAGTCATTCATCATCATTAATTAGTCATCTATTATATGAACTTACTGAATAACATGGTACTTACTCGATCATTGTACTAAGTAAAAAAAAATGGGTGCGTGTACTTATGTAGGCGCGTGAGAAGTTATCCTTCTTTGGCATCGTTTAAAATTAGTTTTTAATTGCATGCAAATAATTAATAACAATAAATTAATAAAAAGTCTGGAAAAGGACACAGTCAATAAAGTTCAGTTTTAATTTGAAAAAATAAATAAATAATCAAAATATTCAATTAAAATCGCTACTGAATATAATTTATTAGAACATATGTGATTTGCACTTGTATGAAACTCAAACACGTATTCCGAATATACAAACTAGAAACATGTGGATAAATATTATAAATATGAATACCTATAACTGTTACTTTATTACAAAAAATAAAGATGTGGTTTTTGGTTCTACTACACCAATGGTCAAGAGATGGCGCTGTAGTCTCCTGAATCGCGCTTTGGTTCCGTTGTTCCAGATTAATAAATACTTTTGATAGGCCTTCACAATGCAGTCGTTAGCACCCACTAAATAGAGATTCTATTTCTATTTTGTTGGTAGATTTTCTTAATGTGCGGTAAACACAAAAGTAACAGCATGAAGTTGGTTGCTTTAGCGACCAACTTCATGCTGTGCTGAAAATTTTGTGTTACAGTGATGCGCGCGCATCTTAAAATTTCACTCTCATAATTTTTTCATAACGCGCCTAAAGAAGTATAACTTCAAAAATTACGGGTTACCATACATGAATCGTTGCCATGGCGATTTACAAAAACCAGCATTTTCAACAAAAAAATGTTTTAAGACTTCTACGATGGTATGAAATCTTTCTTTGAGAAACTTATGTGCACTTGTCAGAGTTATTTATGTCATCTTCAAAACAAAATACCTCTTCAATTCTATAAAACTTCGATATTAGTATATAAGATGGAAAAATTGGGTCATCCAAAATAACTTTAGCTTGAAAAAAGTTGTTATAACTGAATAAATTTAGGTTGGTATGTATGAGATGTAAATGACTTCAACGAATATTGAATATGAATAAATATGCATCTCAGAAACACATTCTGCTACAAAACTTGATCGTTTCATGATTTATTCAACATTGATTAAAGCTTTATGTGTAAAACTTGCACGGATACAGCACAAGTACTTATATTTGTTTCTTAGATTTTCACGCACATCACTCATTAATAAAAACTAGTTTTTTTACGGGTTAATGCACGAAACTTTATTTATTTATTGACGTTTACAGGCTAAAGATAAAGTTTCGTGCATTAACCCATAAAAACTAGTTTTATTTACTAAGTAATAAGTTACGAACACTTAAAAATATAAAAGAAAAAATGGCAAGGCAATAACGTTTCGAATAGCATTAGACCCTGTCTTAAAAAAAGATCTCCAGTTGTCATGACAGAAGAAAGGCGTACTTACATCGAAGATTCCGTAGTTGGTCCAATCACAGTTCCACAACACTAAATCTTCATGTAGGTCAGTGGCCGTAACTCAACTTGAATGAGCCCTCTAACTACATTGACTGTGACCTTAGCATTATCGAGTATAACCTAAACAAGCCGCCAGGCGGTAGGGCCAATAAAGAAAATCATTGGGTGTCCTACTTACCAGCTTGTGGCAAATTCCGGCCGGCGGCCATGGTACAGTAAAATCGATCTAATGGTGGTCGTTGCAAGTGCTAGTTTGCGTGAAAGTACGTTTTGTAGGTCTCTAGGCTGCCATGGTTCGTATGTAGGCGACAGGCGTGCGCCTGTGGGTGTGTGCGTATACGCAGCGGAGATAGCAGACGTAGTGCAGGCGGGCTCAACTTCAGGAGAAATGCGTCGCAGATAATTTATATATTTATTAAAAGCAAGTCGCGTAGCGAATCTGGTCTTTATTTAATAAATTATTGTAGGAAATCATTATCTTTATCTGAACGAGAACTATTCTTTATCCGTGCAGAAATCTACTAAGTTAAGCTCTGTGTAGGTCACCTCATTCAACATTGAAGTAGTTAAAAAAAACTTCAAAAATTCAATTATCTTTACTCGTAAGGAGTAAGGTATCGTAAGGTCACCTTATTAAAATTTTAAAAATGACTTCTTACATTCAACACAACTTTTGATGATTAAAAACCTATGATTTGCCTTCGATAGCATGGTTTTGTTTTAAACGTAAAACGTAATTCCTGTCAAAAAAATCATTTGATCAAACTGGAAAGAGATGGTCAATCCGCCTAATATTAATATTATTTGTATTTTGTTTTATTATAGTATTCTTAAGTAAGTATAGTGGTATTTATTATTGTATATATTTAGATATTTATCGTATATATAACTATGTATGTATATATATATATATAGTTATGTAAGTATATTTATAAATGTTATGTATTCTAATTTTTATATTAAGTATCATGTTGTTTTATAAATTTTTATTTCTTTTCCTTTCACCTTTTGGTTTTATTTACTTTACCGCATAATGTCTCTGCTTAGCCCGATGGTTGACTGGTAGAGAATGCCATGTGGCATTAAGTCCGCCATTTGTTGTAAATGACAATAAAGAGTTAATAAATAAATAAAATAAAGAGATGGCAGAACATCGAACGTCGCCAACGGTACCTGATACTTTGGCAGCTAGCCGCGTGCGAGGCAGAGTTGGAGCGGGCCGCGCTTGAGTCGCTCTGCGTTGCGGTGGTGGTAGAAAATTTTTGGTGGGAAGTCAGTGAGTGGGGTGCGCGCACGCCGCAGTCAGTCTTCGACGCGCGCGGCGCCCGCCCGCATGTGTGAGTGCAGTGTTGTGACAACCCCATTCCCGTGCCACGGACTAAAGAGATCACAGTGACACTCAAACACCAGTGTACGTTCACAAAAAAAAAAAAAAAAAAAAAGAAAAAAAAAACAAAAAACACGGAGTCGGTTCCATTTTATCAAAATTCTCCTTTTTAACGAGAAAACGGGGGACACACGATGTGTTTTTGTTGGGAAATGTTTGTAATTGGCATTTAAAAGAGAAAAAAAAAGTGACGTGACAGTGCCGCGGATTTTTTGTGGACGCAGTGGAAGCACTTCGGAAGCCTGTTTTTTTTTTACTAATATTTTTTTTTATTGCTACTTCTACATATTTGTTGTTGCATTTCATTTTTCCATATACCTCTCCTTGTAAATATTCGCGAGAATATTTTAGTTACTATTGTTTGTTTGTTTCAGTAACCTTTTTTTTTTTATTTTATGCCAATCACATCTTTCCCTTTTTTTTCTTTTTAGTACTTTTCAATATTATTATTTTGTTTTTACTAACAAACCGATTCTATAGTATACTAATCGCATGTTCTGTATTTTGTAGGAAATACCGGTATTTAGAAATACCGATATGTTTATAGAGTAGTTAATCGGAAAAGTGGGTCTTTTCGGTATCCGAGCGCGTTCGGTTTTCGGCTGATAACCCGAAGGTCGACCAACTGGTTTTTTTACAGTTTTAACGGCGCGCGAGTGCCGCCTCGACACCGAATCATGTCCATCTCTCTTTGTTTTCACATTATTTTCTTTTCACTTTTGACATGTCTTAATTGAATACAAAATAGTTTTGTCAAACAAAAAAATACTCTATGATAAAAAAAGTAAATTACAATGTTCGAATTAGGCGGAAAAATAAAGTTACAGGCAGGTAAATTACAGATTTAAAACAAAGCGCTTTTTCGTCTTAAATTTTTAAATACATATTAAAATTAAATTATTTACAACCACTGCAATAATAAAAACAACACATTTTATTTATCGTGCAGAGTCTAAGCTAATTAATTAATTAAGTACAATTATAATTACAGTACTAGATTCTTAATTTATTGAATTCGGATATCACTGATTGTAAAATATTGATAGGTGAGTATGCAGGTAGTTACTAACAAGCCCGTAGTAAATCGACAGTATACTCAATAACTTGTATTCTAGTTCCCTGTTCCCGTATTATTTCTTGCTATACTTGAACCCCGGGTTCTCCCTCTGTGCACTGTTCAAGGGACCTCAGTGACAACAGTACATAGCTACTGGTACATTTAAAAACACTCCAAACTATATATTTAAGGACTTTGAAGTTGTCTTAAACATATAAACGGACTGTGAAGTTACAATGATACGGATTTGACAATACGCAACTCATCTCTTGCCACAGTGGTGTCCGCCCGGTGAGTATTGTAATTGTAAACTTTGGGACAGTTTTGTAATTTTTATTTTTGCAATTTGAGCATTCGCAACACGATTTGGGATAATTGGTTTTTGTTATTGGCATCTTGGAGTGTTGCCTGGCGCCCGTCGGCGTATGATTTTATTCGACATTACTTTTTTTATAGCTATCACAGTTAATTGTTGTTCTTTAGCAATGATTTCATTATATATTTTTTTAATTTCGCTAACCTAATTGTAATGGTCGTTTAACGACTGAGTGAATTTTGATAACAGCATTTGGATTAGTTATATTAAATTTATAATCTAATTAGATAAAAAAAAATATCAACACCTTTGATATTTTTATTATTATTTGGATATTATTAATCATTATTGCTTATTGGAAAATGAGAACAGCCTTAAACATATGAATAAAACAGCAGATTCAAGTTGCACGCCCAAAATTAACATCATACATTAAAGTTGACCTACTTGTCTCGTAAGTTCCGCACACCTACGCGTAACTTGAGAGCGATTCTATCACATGATTCATGAACGACGCACGCTCTTATCACTTCAGCTTTAAAGGTCAAAGTCGCGTGACTCATGGGTTAGGCTTTGGGTGTATCATTTGTTGACCTCTGCAGGCTTTTAGTTGAGTTACAGCAATTACAATATGTAAGGTCGAACAATAGTAATGGGATAAGTCACACTTAACGATATGTCACGTAGTGAGTATATTGAAAAAAATATATATGCTAAAATTTGTGTGCACCGACCAGACATCTGAAGTGAAACTTTGTTTTCTTAAATAACCTAACAATAGGATGTGCATAAGGCATAAAAGAATGGAGCGGCGAACGCATTACTCATATATATGTATATGAAATATATTTTATTGGAACAAAAACAGTGAATACAATACGCAATACACAATTCTTTATTGAAAACACCACAGTACAGTACATAAATGGGGTAAATACATTATGTTTAAACATAGTGATTCAATGGGCGGTCTTATCGCTAAAAGCGATTTTCTTCCAGACAACCTTTGGATGCAGAGGATTGAAAGAAACTGGAGTCGGTGGTGTTATAAAAAATTAGAGATTAGAATACAATAAATGTGTACGATAATAATCGCATTAGTTATAAAAACTGTGTCGCAACTATTATCGCCCACCTCTGAGAGTACATTGGAGTTTCTTACATACACAAATTTACAATAAATATTATGAATGATTTAAATTTAATTTAACGTACTTCAATCAACAAATCATTTAAATGCATTTTATGCGTGTGCGCATGGGTATGTGATGCAGTAGAGCAAAAACAGTAGATGCAGATCCTCCCCCCCCCCCCCCCTCCTCTAGAATTGGTAAATCAAATCAAGATAAAGACCAATAACGAATGTGTTTCTGTGGCTTCTGCCGCCCCTCAAAGCAATTTTTTTAGACAATTACATTTATTTTATAATTATTAAGGTTATCTACATTATTAATGACGGAAAATGCAATTTAAAAAAGAAAATCGTATACTAAAAAAACAGGAGATTCATGTAGAAAAACAGTAGAAGAGGAGATCTCCTGTAAAATCTGGAGACCTGGCAACACTGTGTGAGTGTGATTGTGTGTATTGTGGGTGTACACCCACAGCTTAATGGAGTAATATCTTTATATATATAATTCTTCTGTGAGTGTGTATGTCACTGAACTTCTCTTAAACGACTGGACCGATTTTGATGAAATTTTTTGTGTGTGTTCAAGGGGATCTGAGAATGGTTTAGATTCACAATTTTGTCCGCTGGACAACCCCTATTTTTTTAGGGCGGTACGAAGTTCGCTGGGTCAGCTAGTGTGTATATATAGTCGCGTGTGATGCTCGTGACGCTCATAGCGTTTTAGCCTTCGCCGAGTTACCCTCGCTACTTTCATGCTCGTCGGGAAGAGCTGCGCACGCATCTTACACTTTTTTTTTGAGTGTGTATGCTGTTAGTCGCAGATGACCTTTACAGCGTCACCGGGTCTGCGGACGGAGAGATCCTAAGGGTCCTCAAGCCGAGAATTGGCGAGTGCCTCTAGAGGTATTCCAGGCGGATGGCGTCTCCCCACGGGGGGAGTCTCCACTCCGTCTGGCGCCTCTAGACCACTCGAACCTGAGGGGTCGGCTCAACTAGAGGGCGTGTCTGAGACTCAGACCTCGGCTCTAGTTAGCCGTTGTCGTGGGGGGTCATCTTACACACACACATTTTCGTTTATATACAGTTGTTTGAAGCGCGTGACGCAGTTGCATATTTTCCATAGCATTTTCCCATTTACGCCCCGTCCCAAAATTAGTTTCACTTCAATAAAAGAGCACAACGGATTTTCAGCTCGAATTAGTGAGCCCGCTTTCGGACTAACCTCCCACCTTACAGAAGATTACTGTACAACTAGCAAACCAGTGAACCAAATGTTCACCAAAACCTGATTTCTCGAAAACCGGAAGTGCTACGTTACTCAAATCCGGTTTGTAGTCTTATCAGACTATTCTTAACTTATAACTTAAATATTCTCTTTATCTATGTCTTACGGTTTGGCCGCTGAAACAGCACCACAGACAGACGGACGGACGGACGGACTTGTCTAATAGATAAGAGATAACACTAGCTTTTGGTTTGTGTGTCCTCACGGGGTAGGGGATGGGGTCAGGGCTAACCAACGAGTGATATATTTTCGGTATCACAAGCGAGGAGCTCGATGGCGCAGGTCGTTAGCGCGTTCGGCTGCGATTGTTGTAGTTAAGCAACTTTCGCAGTGGTTGGTCTTTGGATGGGTGACCGAAAAATTCTATCTCGAGTTCCTCCGTGCTTCGGAAGGCACGTTAAGCCGTTGGTCTCGGTTGCACCCGCAGTCGTTAGCACTGGGCCCGCGTGGTGGATCATGGCCCAATCTCCCTATTCCATCCATAGGGAAGGCCTGTGCCCCAGCAGTGGGGACATTAAGAGGCTGATGATGATGATGATAATCACAAGCGTGTATGGGCGATGGTAATTATTTACCATAAGACGGGCCATACGCTAGTTTTGCACGCTTTTTACATAGAAAATACTAATATCTCTGAAGTCATTTTTCAACTTGACGACTCTGTAAATGATAAAACAGGGAGAAAAAAACAGCCCTTGCTGAGTTTCTTGCCGGTTCTTCTCAGTACAAGGTCTCCCGCCGTAGATTTACGAACCGATGGCGTAGCTTCTAGACATTCATATGTGCTTGTAACAGCCTAAACTGAATAAATGATTTTGATTATGATTATGAATAATAACGACTGAAAACGTATTAATTTAAAATATCTTTTTTTACAAAGAAGTCATTAATTAATCACCTTTACTTTGTTCAATGGTTAAGGCGTTCTTTTTCCTTATTACGCAATAAATTATGAATAAGAGTCCTTATAATTAATTATACAACATTAGATATAACATAATTAGTTAACTTGACTATTGACTTAATTGCCTTAAGCTTTTGCATTTTTTGCTCGAGTAAATTATTGTATTAAAGAAATAATGTGCAGTTTAACGTAGAAGAGACTATAATTCTAAATCACTTGAAGTAGAAACACAGGTAACCAAATACATATTATGATTTAGCCCAGCTAATGCCATAGGTTAATGAAGTCAAACCTATGTACTATTTACAAGTGTTTGTTAAGCTCTCTCAAGGTTTAGCGCTATTGAAGCTGTACCACAAATCCATCTTCAATTTCGAGTGGTCTCCAAATTGAGAGAAAACTCCCTCCGAGGGAAATACCATCCTCCTGGAATACCTCTAAAGGCATGTGGCCGACCGAAGACTGCTTCTCCAGTCACAAGTTTCACTTCCGGACGCCTTTCTTCTGGACTAACCTGGGTTGGCTAGAGTAAACGGGACTGTCTCGGGACATGCACAGTGGTCCAATAATTAGGACCAAATGCGGAAACCGCCCTGGAAAACTTACCAAAAGCTCTGGAGGCACTCGCCAATTCTCGGCTTCAGGTCCCTTTAGAATCTCGCCGTCCACAAACTCGTCAACGCCGTAAAGGTCATCAGAAACAAACATCATACACACTTCAAAAAAATTGCCAGAAATGTCAAGTTTATAATCACATCAAACTTTATGTTACCGCAGAAAAAATAACGTAGCACGCGAGTCACAAAAACCATAAAAAACCGCTTATACTGACGATGTGATACATTAAAGCAGAAGATCTCAATATCAGGCAAATGGCAAGAAATGTATCAATGATCCTTCCTTCATATTAAATATATTCAACTAGCGGCCCGCCCTCGCTTCGCTTCGGCGTAGAGCTGAAGTGTAGACTACAGTTTTCGTTCTCAGGCTTGTATTATACACAATGACATTCGTCTATGATTCTTCTTATACCTGCATGCAAAGTCTCAGTCCGATCGGTTTAAAATTGACAAAGTTTCATACAAACATTCATTCCTTATTTTATCCCCTTGGGGGTAGAATTGATCAAAATCCTTTCTTAGCGGATGCCTTCGTCATAACATCTACCTGCATGCCAAATTTCAGCCCGATTCGTCCAGTGGTTTGGGCTGTGCGTTGATAGATCACTATGTCAGTCAGTAACCTTTGAGTTTTATATATATAAGATAGGGTATGCGATACGTCAATCACAACAAAACAGTAACGCATGGGACCAATCAACGAATTGACGTTTGGTTTGCGCTAAATTAAATTCTAATTTGAATGATAGTTCAACGCAGCCACCTAGGCATTTATGAAAACTCCGAAGGTGAAAGCAAATAGGGAATAATAGTCCCCCTAAAAGCAGCATACATGGCACATTAATAGCGTAAAAGAGAATGATAAAATTATTACAATAATTTAAACAGTATGAAGAACCATAAATAATTACAGTAGTTCAGCATTTATCACGCAATCTATGGCAGGTGGTTACTGTAATTTTTCATAGTTTATATTTAAAATAAAGATGTCATTAATTTTCGACAGGATACTGTTCCTTCGCAAACATTACTTT